TTGAAACTAACTAATAATTTATCTCGTTATGTGACTCTTGCTTATCTTGTGTATCATAATAGAAAGTTTTGCACTAGGCTTTCCTAGTCGGGATTATATTGATTTAATTTGCAGAGGCAAGATTGTACTGGTATTACAATTTGTTTGAGAGAATGGAATCCAAAATTCCACGAAATCTTCAATACGGGTTGCTGCTTTGCGAGAAATGGCCACACTCCGAAATACGTATCCCAATGGTGACTTTTCTTATTTTGTCGTTGAACTCCATTTTGGCTTGAGTGACTTTTGTAAGGCTGATATGTAAAATCTTCGTTCGAGGAGATGAACTGCGTTTGGTTATTGCCGCTGAACATCTGCTTGATTTCATTGTTCAAATGAATCATGGTCACAATAATATGGACGACCTGGTGTTCCCTTTCAAGTGTTAAGAGTGTTGTTTATAGCGAAACACAAGGAAGGAATTATTTACACTAAATCATTTTGCATGTTGTATACTTTACCTGACTTGCCATTTTGTTGCTGCTAATTATTCACAACTGCAAAATGAGTAATAAAGTAGAAGTCTCTGAATAATTTTGTACAGTGTCATTTTCATCAGTTTTGTTATGGAGTCATCGGATGGTTCGACTTATTGAGTCATCAACACTTATTCACCAATAGTGTATTGACACGTGTCCTACAATAAATACAATTTGGACAGGTGTCAATACATTAAGTGGTAGATGGCTCCATAAGAAAACCATCCGATGGTTCCATAGATTTTTTGGTCATTTTTATATTGTGGTCAGGCTCTTTTTGACTGGAGACGGGGATTCGAAAAATTTTAGGTTTAATGGAAAAATGCATATACTACAACACTACGAAATGTTATTAAACAATGTCTCAAAAAATTTTAGGTTTAATTAAAAATATATATACTACAACGCTGAATGTTCAACCAAACACGGCCTATCTCAGTGCAGAGTCGGTCCTGAAAATTATTAGGCACTAAGCCAAATATGTTAAACGATGCCCTTATTATTGTTAAATAATGCCCTTAATATTTTTGTTTTTCTAAAAAGAATAGATTGAAGAATAAGACACCAAAATAACAAACTATCTTTCGGTCATGAAAATTATTAGGCCCTAAGCCAAATATGTTAACCGATGCCCTTAATATTTTTGTGTTTCCAAAAAGAATAAATGGAAGAATAACACACCAAAATAACATAGCTTTTCTAAAAAATAAATCTGAAAACAGTCAGCTAATTAGAGATTTTACTGAATATGAGTCACTATCACTTTTATAATCGAATTGTATATGCGCACAAAGTGGCAATATTTATGTTAGGAAAATTTAGAGTGATTCATTGAAAAAATAATATTAAAATATACAAAATTATTAATATGTTGTAATAATTTCATTCAAAAATTCTAACACATGGAAAAAAAAAATTAGAAGCCTCATTTTGTGAAAAAATCAAGCAAAAATACATTAAAAACATTTTAAATATGCCCCTAATAATAATGGGCCCTGGCGGTCGCTCTAGTGCCCCTTCTCCAGGGCCGGCACTGTCTGAGTGGCCTCGTCGAGTTCGATTTCTTGGGTTTACGATGAGCTGGTCTCTGTTTATTGAGAGTTCAAGCTATCGACAACGGTTTTCGACATTGCGTTGAGGGCCTTTGTGGACAGGGGCTGTTAAACAATGCCCTTTTCGTGTTCGATAATATGCCTAAATGCGCCCGCTTGCATAGCTCGTTGTCTTGTAATGCTCTATTGAGCTGTTTAGTGGGAAATAAGGGTTTTTCATGTGGTTTCATGTGTTCATGATCAAACGATCCAAGTTGGGGCCGTGCCTGATGTGTACACTCATGCAATCGTGGTGGATGCGTATTGTAAGGATGGTAGGGTTTATAACACTGTGGGATTTGTTGAGTGCTTGGAAAGAAAGGAATTGGATCTGAATGTCATGGTTGGTGGCTTATAATGTTTTGACAAATGGATATGCGGAGGCGGGGAATGTGGAAGGGGTGGGTAAAGTGTTGGGATTAACAAGGAACGGGGGATTTCAAAAAATGTGGTTAAGTGTACACTTTTAATTAAGGGTTATTGTAAGTTGGGTAAATTGATTGAGCTAAAAAGGCATATAGAGAGATAATCTCAACATTTCTATTAGATCCTCTCTTTCTCGTATAGATTCACTTACATGCAATGGAGCCAACGTCACTGGGTGTTCTACAAGATTTCACACTTGATTGAAGTCCATTGATTTTATCTCAATTCTCATCGCACTTTGTCAATTCTTTGCATCCCAATCTTGGAGCGCCTCATCGAAAGACCTTAGGTCGATTTCAGTCCATCTGGAACTGTGTTCGAAGACTCTCCTAGAAACATGAATCGATCGCGTTGCCAAACAACCTTCTCACTACGACGAGGTACTATCGGCACAGGTTCGTCGGCGGTGACACATGTTGCAGTATCATGTGGTGTAACATCAAGTACACGTGATATTGAAGTATCAACCCCTTTTAACTCCTCTAGGACATGTCTACTACTAGGCTTATGATCCATCACATAGTCCTTTTTCAAGAACTGAGCGTTCATGCTAACGATCACTCTCTGGTCCTCGAGACTATAAAATAAACCACCATTCGTTTCCTTGGGGTATCCCATAAACAGCCTCATTTCCGAACGTGGTTCCAACTTATCAGCATCTGCCCTCAGCATATGCGTTGGACTACCCCATATATGGATATGTATTAGATTGGGCTTTCACCCAGTCCACAACTCCATTGGCGTAGATTGCATTGACTTAGAAGGTACCAAGTTTAGAATATGAACCGCTATTTCTAGTGCGTATCCCCAAAACGAATAAATCACTATAACTCATCATTGCCCTAACCATCTTCATAAGAGACTTATTCCTCCGCTCTACCACACCATTCTGTTGAGGCATACCCGGCGCAGTCAGCTGAGACTGAAATCTCATTCTCCTATAAGTAGTTTCTAAACTCTCCCAAAAGGTATTTGTCACCATAATCTGATCGTAGTGACTTGATACCCTTACCACGTTGCTTCTCCACAACCGCCTTATACTCCAAGAACTTCTCGAAGCATTCAGACTTGCGGCGCAACAAGTTGACATACCTATATCTCAAGTAATCGTCGATGAAAGTAACGAAGTACACAAAACCACCTCTCGCTTGGAGGGACATAGGTCCACAAAAATGGGTATGAACTAGTTTTAATATATCACTGGCTTTATGCCCCTTGGCCTTAAAAGGCCTCTTGCTTATCTTACCTTCTAAGCAAGACTCGCAGGCTGGGAAAACCTCGACTTCTAACAATTCCAAGGGTCCGTCTGCCACCAACCTTTGTATCCTCGTCTGGTTTATATGATCAAGTCTTAAATGCCATATATATGTTTTATTCATTCCCGAATGTTCTTTTCTCTTATTATGATTAGATGATGAGTTAAGTAATTATTTGCGTTGCACTGCGAGAGACTTTTTGTTCTAGAAAATACAGATTGCCAACTAATGATCGAGAGTAAATAAACTTTTTACCAAATTTTATAATAACTTTATTATTAAAATTAGCAGAAAAACCATTCGTAGACAATTTAGAAACTGAAATCAAATTCTTTCTCAATTTCAAAATCAAAGTTCTATCTAAGTCAAAATGTAAATAGACGTCTACCACTACAACAACCGTCTTGTTGGCGTTGCACATTTAAACAGTAACTTCTCATTGTCTAAGTCAATTGGTTTCTTGGAACCCCTGCAACGAATTGCAGACATAATTAGTTGATCACGTATCTCGATCCGATTGATGAACCAGCTAAAATCGAGTTCATTTAAAGTTTGCATGGTTAGATAAAGCACGAAAATAGAAGTTTTGGACAATTTTTTATAATTCGACTCGTTATTAGTGATAAACAAATCGAACTCGAACTTGAGTTCAAACTCATTTTTTTAACAGCCTCATTAAGGCTCTAGTTCGAGCTGGAGCTATGTCTAGTTACGTGAGTGTGTGTGTGTGTGAAGCGATTGGTACGAGTAATATGGTGAAGGAAAAAAGAGAGTTCCTCGAAAGCGTAACAGGTAAATGACGTAAATAATGGAGGTGGGGTATGGGAGCTTTGTTTTAACCGATGGAGGTGCGGTCCGAAGACCAATGCCTATTGTCCTTTGCAATTGCCTTTCTCTCTCTCTCTAAATCTATAATTTTTTAATTAATGCATTGCTTCGTACATTGATTTTTTTTTCTTTCTTTCTTTCTTTCAGTCTCCATCATCCGTCCATCACGTGACCAACTTTTATTATATTCACAGACCCAAAGAAAGCCAAAGAGAGACCAAACCCCAAAGTGATTTTACACTATTATTATTTATATATTTTTTTCGGTACAAATTATATTATTATTTATATTTTGATTTAATTTGTTGTTGTTTTCTGGGGGGGTGTTGCTCAATAATAATACTGCGGTGCAGGCTGCTGTTGCCTCGGTCCCCTCTCCCTCTGTCCTTTGCAGATTCTTTTCTCTCTCACACACTATTCACACACTGACACAGACATAACAGGTTTTCATTTCTCACTCCCTTTCTTTTTTTATTTTTATTTTTATTTTTTTGTTTTCCAATTTTTTCTTACCTATCTATCATCTAGCCGGCCAAAAGCACACAATAGCCACCCTATTCACATGGTGTAAGAGAAATAACTAACTGTACTAATTAATTAAATATACTACAGTACTGTAACATTTTATTTGATCACATCACAATAAATAAAGAGTCTCATAATAGTAAGAAAGTTTAATTGTTAAGAGAGGGAAAGAAGACCAAAAAGAGGAGGGAGGGAGTGAAGGAGGGCCATATTTCATTAATATGTTTGGCTTTTGTATGTATTGTTGACACAGACTTAACAGGGTCAAAGTTACAGAGAGATAGAAAAAGGATAGTGATAGGCACAGCTCCAGCAGCAACACAGTAGCATAGCAGCAGATATTATAGATATTATAGAGAG